TGAAATTGGTCTATAATTTTCGCATTTACGCTTATCCTCAGATTTGTAAATTGGTATAACTCTAGCCAATTTCCACTCATCTATATAAATACCAGTTCTAATCGATAGGTTAAATATAAAAGTTATAGATGGAGCAATAAGGGTTGATGTCAGTTTTAAAATATTCGCAGGTATTCCATCCATACCTGTCGAGACATTTAGTTTTTGTAGGCGTTTGGAAACACTATCTATAGTAATATCTGCGAAGTGAAAATTTTCTTTAGGAAGAAGCACAGTACTTTCATAAATTACTTGATCATTTAAAGCATCAGTGTTTTGACATGCTGATTCAGCAGCCATCTTCATTCCAATATTTATAAAATATTCATTTAATGTTTCAGTAATAGATTTATCATCAGAAATAATATCATCATTTACTTTCAGTTCATTAATATTTGCATTCTTATGCTTTCTTCCTAAGAGCGAATTTATCCAAGCCCATCCACTTTTACTGTCTCCCATTTGAGAGCTTGCCTGGATTTTATCACAAAGTACTTAGATTTTGCTTTCCGCATGTTTATATTTACTTCATTACGTAGTGTTTTATACAATTCCCACTGTGACTCCGAATCATATTTTATGGTCTTTTTTTTGTGATAGTCCCTTTTTCTCATAAGTTCTTTAATTTGAGGATTAATCCATGGGACAGGGTTATTCCTTATTCGCTTGTGGCGCAGAGGAGCATGTCTATTAAGTGCATCTAATAATAGTGATTTCCAGACTTGCCAACATAAATTGGGATCTCCAAACTGATAGACCATCTCCCAAGGCAATTGAGACACATCCCGAATGAAATCATTTTCGACAAAGTTTTTAAAGTTACGAACCTGACGAATTTTTTGCCTTCCATTCGGTAGTGTAAATTTTCTCACAGCGTAGACAAGGCTGTGATCTGAAATTCCCGGGTGAATGACACCTGATCTGGAAATATTTTCTGGTCTATTTGTTAATATTAAATCAATTAGTGTAGCTGATTTAGGAGTTAGCCTTGTAGATTCTTTAATAAGTTGGTCTATCTGATACAGAGAACATAAAAATTGCAACTTACCTGTGTGAGGGTCAGGTATAGTTTTACTGACATCACAATTTAAATCTCCTATGAGGATTAGCTCCTTATCTTCATTATCACATTTTGCTAAAAAGCTTGCCCAGTAATCAAATATATTCATAAGAGAATTTGGTGGTCTATACCATGTGCTTATTAGCAGTGATTTATTGTAGGGTAAACTTAATTCAATGCAGACCATCTCCAGTTCATCAGGGATTAGATCTATTCTATCTGAGAATGATATGTTTTGGCGAACATATAGAACCACACCACCACCAAACCTATTTCGATCTTTACGAATTATATTAAAACCATCAATATGTATCTCATTATTTGAAATCTGATTATCAATTTTGGACTCATTAATTGCAAGAATGTCAAGGGCGTCATTGTTAAGGTTAAGCGAATTTCATCCAGATGTTTCATTAAGCTATTTACATTTAAGTTGGCTATCTTCAAACCTTTACTTTTGGCGATTATGTTAATTTCACTATCTATGCCTAATAAAGAATTGCTTGGCACATCTTGACAATTTACTTGTTCACGTGACAATTTACTTGGCACATCTTGACAATTTACTTGTTCATGTTTGAAACATATTTTAACAAGCTTGCTACAAGCTACGTTTTTTTGCGAAAATATCTCGTGTAGTCGAGAGGACAACAAATTGTAGAGAGGATGTGATATTTTCGCGTGTGTAGTTAATTATAAAGGTCATGCATACAGACCGGACGCGATTTGGCAACGCGAATTTTCAGTTTTCAATGACATTTAACTTTAATATTTTTCAGTGTTTTTCAAATATTTGGGACCACTTAAGCAATTTTAGCTATTTGGTCTGCATATCTTGTAAAATTCTTACCCGTTAACGGTTTTATTTGTTTTTGAAAACTGAAAACTTGTGGGCCTTAACATCGTTGCAAAACTGGAATGCTTGAATGCAAATGGCTTGTTTCAGATTAATATAGGGTGTGTAAAAAAAGGTAATCCAATTTTGGCATGTTATCGTGCATTAAATATTACGGTTACCCATGTACTTTTTTCATACCAATAAAGATGAGGCTTCTAGCGGTCGAGTAATATGCCCCATGTAAGGGAATCCAGAATCCGACTTTTAATAGCTTTGCAATCCAGAATCCAAACATCGGAGAAATACGGAATCCTTATCCTGGGCCAATTTTCTGGAATCGGGAATCCACGACCAATCTGGAATCCACGACCGATCCGGAGCAGGGGGTGAGCGGAGGTGAGACACTGGGAACGAGGTTGATAGCTTTCTTGACTTGTATCATTTCGATCAAAAATAGCCAAATACGATTTGATTAATTAGAAATACCGTTCGAAAATCTTGTAAAGCTATTGTCTGAGTATTCAAATTGTTCTCATTTCCAATTCAAATTTAAGTCGCTTGAATACATTTATTTTGTATACAGTGAAGTTGTCTCAACATAAAATCGTAGCTCATTACAGACGCTATGTATAATTGGTAGCTACAATCGTCCACATGTACAAATCCCCTCCCCGAATCACTCCCCGGATGGTGCATACAGTACAAAATTTCACTTTGCAGTCGGTTATGACAACAATGCATTGTTTTCTTTTGTGTTTTCCAAACTAAACAAAAGCTTTGTGTATTCAGCCATTTCAGCGTTGCTATATCCCTTGTGCCCAGGGCCTTTCAGAGGGGGAGGGGGCGAAGGGGGCAATTTGCCCCGGGCCCCCAGTTTAACCCCCCAAAATGTGCAAAATTAGAAGAAAAATGGTGCATGTATTACCTAAATTTTACAGATATTGGTCCGAAAAAATTGGTTTTACCCATGTATGTTTTAACAAGAATTTATTGGGGAAAATTGAACCTTAATTGAACTGGTGTTTGTCCGTAAAAAATTTTTGACTCTTTTTTTAATGTCCGTAAAAAAATTTTAAATCCCCCCACCGCTCGCCAACATTTTGGGTAAAAATAAGGGACCCGAAATAAAAATTTGCCCCGCCCCCCTTCCCCCCCCCGAATTTCTCTGATAGGCCCTGCATGTGCCACATATTGCCGTAACACAACCGCGCCATTTCTTATTTGTCATCGCTGCAGGCGTAAATACGCATGCATTTTATATGTGAAGAAGTGCAACAAGTAAAATAACTATGACCCTGGCAAAACACACAAAGCTTTTGTTTAGTTTGGAAAACACAAAAGAAAACAATATATTATATTCATAACCGACTGAAAAGTAAAATTTTGTACTGTATTCTTTGCTTGCACATGACGTCACTACGTGTCATTAGGCGCCATCTTGACTTGTTGATTTTAAAATTTTGTCCAGCTGTTTACATCGAAAATCGAAATAGTTGAGTTACTTTAATATTTTTTTAATATTTGTTTGTTTTGAAAACATCTTACTGTATTGTGAATAGTTTATGATTTCTGGCACAATACGACAAAGAATGAAGAATATAGATTTTTACTTTTTAGTTGCCACGTAAATGTTTGAAAATCACCCAAAATGACGTCGATTGCAAACGACGATAACCTTATGATTGCTCCCATCTTCATCCGAAGTGAAACCCTCAGTTTAAAACGTAACTCTAAAAAAACGGCGAGTGTAATTTTCGGAAAAAACCGTCAGCGTGTAATTATTTACATTGAAAAAACGTCGCGTGTAATTCTGAAGAAAAAACGGCGAGTGTAATTTTGAAGAAAAAAGCAACGAGTGTAATGGTAAAAACAAGGCGAATGTTTACAGTCATGCATGGCCCTTCTCGGCCATCGTAGAAATGTCCCCACAACAATATGTTTGAGTAAACATTAAAATCTTAACAATGCTTTCCAGTTTTCCCGGGCCAACACCTTTAAATCGTCATTTTTTGTGAAAGTGAAATTTTGATTTTTTAGCCGAATGGTGCATTTTCTATCTTTTAAACATAGATTTAAGTGAATATTTCACTTTCTCGTTCAGACTGAATGAACAAAAATGCTTTGTTCTTCGCCAGGTTCGCTACAACGATTACATGTACGAGCACTTTCAACCCCAGGCCCGGGGTTTTGAACTCAGCCCGTTTAACCGGGTTGAAATTTTTTGCGATTACATGAACGATTTCAACCCCGAGGTTGAAATGCTATACGTTCTTGGCATTGATTCCCGGAAGTAAAGAAAGCCTCCATTTTTGCTCATGAATAATTTCAGCCCTAGAACTTATAAACGCCCTGGTTGAAACGATTACATGACAAAATTTTCAACACAGGGCCGAGTTCAACTGATAGAGTTTTGTATTACAGACACGGCTGAAATTTCAACCCGGTCAACAGGGTTGAGTTCAACCCCGGGGTTGAAAATACTCCATGTAACAACTCCGCAGTGTGCTCAACGACATTAAAGATTTGTAATCCAGGCATCTATTATAATTAATGAAAGTTCTCCGGATTGAAATATTCTTTTATTGAGCTTCTTCAGAATACTGAGAGTCTGAGATTAATATGCGTCGAGACCGTCTGATTGGCTGTTCCGTGGTTGATCTGATCTAACTGGTGGTTGAAGAATGCGTTGTCATGGTTGAGTGAATTCCGCTGCCAGGGATGGCATTATTGGAGTGTTTGGATTGTTGTATTGCGGATGTTGAAGGAAGTGTTATGGCTGTTATTGGAATGTTAATATTAGCATTAGTCATCGTACTGTTGTTATTAGTAGGACATTTACGTGTTGTTTTTTAAAAGTTGTAAGTATATAGTGGGAATATCAACGTGTCGGTTAATTGTATTACACTATTACCGCCTATATAATACTGTACCATGCCTCTTTAATTAAATTCACGTGCATGTTTTGTTTGTGTTCGCTGTGGTTTAAGTTTCACGCCAGGATACCAGCTATTTTGTAGGTACTCGTCTACTTTCTGGTCCGCCTTCATTTTAACCAATCAGATCACGATGCAGAAAAGCTCGTAATCTGATTGGCTAAATGAAGTGATCCGTTAATCACTCAAGACGGGTCCTGAAGGGGGGTCCCAATCCCATTTCCCACCTGAAATTTTGCAGCCTAGTCCCTAGGCCTCTTAGTACGCCTATTGCGCGTGAAATTTTGGCAAAATCCCAGTCCCAGTTGGATTTTTATTAGAAATCCCAGTCCGAGTTATTGAAATCTCAGTCAATAAAAAAAGTTATTTATCGGTAGAATAAACAGTTTTTTAAGCCACCGTGTGTGCGCACCGTATGGCAGAAGCGGTTGTGGTTTGCCTTTGAGGTATATACTAAGGGTCAAATGAAGTATATACCGGAAACCAGGCATATATTCCGCTGTGCATCTGACTTGGGGACACGCATAATCAGAAAACCCAGAATTTCGGGCACCAGAGTATGCCTGTTCGCAGGTAGTGCTGTGAATAATATAGTTAACAACAAAAATCATGATCAAAGACACCAAAAACGGATCAAAATTGTATTTTAAAACACTTAAAACGTGGAAAAATTGGGATTCGACTCGCATTACCTCAATCCCATTTTTGAGGACTTCATTTCCCATTCCCAGTGGCCAAATCCCAGTCCCAGTAACCCAAATCTCACCAAGCTAACCAAGCTTGGAAGAGTTTTGGATGTGTATAGGTTATTTTGAGGCAACGAGGGGATATGTGAATAAACACATATCCCCGAGGTGCCTCAAAATAACGTACTTATTTTTCACATTGCGAGGTCGCGTTAATGAGTCAGAATAGAAAGAATACTTAATGCCATATTGCCTTCGTTATGTTGTTTTTTCTCATTTTTTGTGCTGCAAAGACATTGCAGGTGAATATTAGAGGGATTTATTAGAGGAGATCATTAGAGGGGTATATTGAATATATTCCCCGATGAGAACAAAGGAAACCGAGCAGGGTGAAAAATAAACACTCAGATTAACATCACAAACATCATATTGACATACAGCTATTTCAAACAAGGTTGTCCACGAGCAAAGCGGAAAAGTTGAATACGAGCGCGAAAGGCTGCTGGGAACCGCTTTGAAAATTCATTAATTTGTTAGCGATTCCCAGCAGCCTTTCGCGCTCGTATTCGACTTTTCCGCTTTGCGCGTGGACAACCTTAATTGAAATAGCTGTATTCAGTGGCGGAAATCTTGGTGGGGCGGGGGGGTGGCGGCCGCCCCCCCCCCACCTTCACGGAAAATTGACGAATTTCGGAAATTTTGACCTAAAAGAGGGCTAAAACCAGTCTTTTTGAGTGCAAATGGGGGTTGTCGGAAATTTGAAGGTTTTGTCGGAAATTTTGGAGGCTTTGCCCTCCCCCACCGGAGAAAGTGAATTTCCGCCACTGGCTGTATTCACCTGAGTACACAACACCAACACAAAATCATATTACCAGTCTACTAGATTACATTGGTATCGAAGGAACTAGATTCTGTTCCGAAATATCACTTACTCGAACCGACCTGACCGCGTAGCTCAGTTGGCAGAGCATTGGGCTAGTATTCCATGGGTAACCCACAAGTCAACCTCATTCCCAGGGCTTCAGTGTGAGGACGAGGTCTCGCCTCGTCCTCACACTGAAGCCCTGGGAACGAGGTTGCCCACAAGTGTCACAGCGAAAGTATAACTGACTGAGCCACGGCAAAATAAAATTAACTGCAACGGCAAAACAAAATTGAAACTCACAAGAAAATAAAGTTAATAACTCACGGCAAAATAAACAGTCACGGCAAAATAAAGTTAACAAATAACTCGTGGTTGGTGATCCCGCGCATTCCCGCCATTCTTGTAGCGCTGTTAGGGCGCTTTATATATATAAGCGCCCTGCTGTGAACCTATGGCTCTGAATCTAGTGTTTGTTGGTCTTTCTTGAGAGTCAAAGGACATTTACCAAAGTCACCAAAATGTATTGCCCAGTGTGTGGCTGTTCTGGTGCCAAAGCATAATGCATATAAAAAAAAGTATAACAAAAACTGTCTGACAAAGGTCAAAGCTGTTTTTAAAACTCATATAAAGTTGCATTCTGAACAATTCAACGTTATATTTTACTGATTTCTAATTAGATACCGATAAATTTGATTTGTCATTCCGCATGCCATTCCGCCGTGCCATTTCGCCTGGCGCCTTTTACATTCACCGGTTAATCGAGGGGTTCGTCCTAATAGTTGGATTTCTGTCCAGTTGAAGGTATGGCAGTTGTCCTATATGTGTGTTACAGGTAGTGATTTATCGTATCGTTTTAAAACGATACGATTATAAACCACTCGCTAACGCGCGGTGTCCTCCCCAAGCACCCCCACTTCCCCACGCGCGCTTGCTCAACTTTTTCCGTGGTATTGCGCCTGGGTATGAGGATACACCAGCCTAGTCCCAGTCGTTCTGAAGCAAGCGCGAGAAAAAAAGTGGATGTAGTACGAGACTGGGACCTAGGTGTGACGTCACCGCTCAAGGTGAAGCGTTCCGCACAGCACACCCAGGCATAAAACTTTTAAGACTTATTTAAATATATCAAAGCAGCGAATAGAGAGAGAGCCTGGGACTAGGCTGAGGATACACACCATACACACCATACATGAAGTACTTAATACCATATTCAAGATGGACGTCGAAGAACGACGCTTTTGTTTACTATAAAACTAAATTTACGACTTAAATTACCTAAAAATAAAAAAATATGGAAACTACCACGAAGTTCATAAAAAGGTTTTACGAAACTCCTCGAGCGCAAGTAAGATTTCGTAGTTGTTTTCTTAAATATAATATGTTTATGATATGAAATATTATAAATATATTATCTGACAAATTCTGACATCCCACTGTATGATATGTATGGTACTGTATATCCGTTCTAGGAGATCTATACTTCACTTCGCCAACGGAGTAAAGCAGTACAAAGAGCAATTAATGATGAAGTTTGTGTCGAAGATATTCCTGACGAGATAACAAAGCTGGACAAAGTTAGAAGTCTTTCAACAAACGAAAAGGTGTTTTATAGTTTATATTAAAGTGTGCAATAGTTAAATTGAATATTGATTTATTGATATTAAGGTAACTATTTGACGTTGATATTATGATTCATTGAATTCTTCCTGTTCCCACCGGCAACCCTCTGGGAAATACAAACTGGAAAGTTTGGAAATTGTGCGCTGGAGATTTCAATGACACTTGCCAGGGGTGGAGAATCTTGTTCAGGGTCTGGTCACAGAATAGAGACAAACGGAAGGTCGGCTTCTTGGTTTTCCCATGATTTTGATGTAACCATAAATTAATCTTCATAGACTTCATAGTCCTTCCCCCATTGGGGAAGTTGGCCCCCCTTTTTTTCTTTTCTTTGGGGGGGGGGGTGTTAGTCCCCCCACACCACCCCAGTAGTTCCGGCCTGGGGGTGAATGTCCCTCATAAGCGCACTGGCTAGGACCATATAGTGTTGGCATTTTGATCCATGTTGGAGTCAGTGAAAATTTTACCCCAGAGGTTATAATCCAATATCATTGCCAGACATTTGAATCCCAAAACATCCCTTACATCTATGCCCCTTATGGTCTTATTACCCTTTTGATTCCCAAATTTCTTATTCTAAATATAACTAAAGGGTTAAGGATTGCTAAAAAGATTACAAAAAGGATTTCAAATTGTAAACATACTAAAAGGGTTACAAAATGTAAAAAAAAATTAGAAGAAAAGATATATTTTTGGCAATTTTTCCTATTAAAAATTATTGCCAAACTGCGAAATATTAGAACCTGATGATTGTGCCCAATAAACGAACCTTTGATTTTATGCAAACTTGGAATGAAACAAATAATTATTGACACCACAGATTAAGGTACGCGAACAATTATTTCAGCTACTAATATCTGCATATTATTTAAATTTTCCCATACATTTTTCAGTTCATCGATCATTTAGCCATAGTATGCATGACTTTGTAAACGGTGGGTTATTGTTATTTCGGTAATTAAAATTAGTTACAAATCCTGCCCGTCCATTTACTGCATTGTTGCCCAGTTTTAAGTGTCATAAAAAAATCATATTTTATTTCCTTGATTAGTTCATGGAATTTTGTTTCCACACTGTACAATTTTAATTTGGTATGATTTTATATAAAAATTGGTTAACCACCATAGAAAATGAACTACTTTTATAGTATTTACGCCTAATTAGGCTTTTTGGTGTCATTTTTATGAGTCGATATTTCTTGCTAGTATCGATAATTTTCTTCAAAACCCTGGTATAGATAGTATCGAGTATTTGGTATCAATATCGGCCCATCCCTATCAGGAATGCAGTCCACAGGCAGGATCAGAGTTTGTGGTTATGTTAGCAGGCCTTGCTTGTTGGCCACTATGCCCTCAAAATATACTGAAATCCACGGCCAGTAGTGGCCTGCCCTCAACCCCAGACTACAGTTATACTTATGCCTTAGAATACCAAGTGTGAAGTGTATGATTTGTAAAATTGGCAATAAATTTAAAATAGTATTTAATTAAATGCACCTTTTTGTCAGTGTGTCAGTGGAATCATGTATTAAAATATCCATAGTTTTGTAAAATATCCTTCTTAGCTGCAATGGCCATTATTGCCATTTTCAACCATTATAATATGACATTAAATTAATATAGATCTTATTGATGATGAGTGTGAATCACCATGTAGGCAGGGGCGTAGGGAGGGATGCTGCACCCCCCCCCCCAATGCTGTGTCCGTCGGCACAATAAATTAGTTGTCGGTAAAATGAATTGGATCAAGCCAATAGGCAATACCTGATTGGAGAGAGATTGTTTGTAGAAAATTTGTAGAAAATGCGAGATCGAAAAGATGGATATGTCGACTGAAAGCTCGGCCCTTTTCCGAACATTCAGCCAAATTGGCCAAGAACTTGTTACGCTAATACGCTATTTAATAGTATTATATTTTCTTGCAATTTTGTGAAATATGATACCATAGGAAACTCGAAGCACATGTGCGTGTTGACTGTTGATGCGTCTGCGCTTCATTTCATAATTTTGTAAAGCCAGTAAAAGTCTTAGAAATTACACCTAACGGTCTTATATACAATGAGAAATACGAAGATGATTTAAAAGTATGGACAGTAGCAAGCAAAAACGCAAACGGAAGAGAGAGAAACTGACGTGTTTAGTTTGTAATTGGTCGTTTGATGACGATTGGATGTTCTTTTTTGAAATTTATACCATGTATTTTAAGGAACTATTTCGCCTATTTAAAAAATAAATTATCTTGGCGGTTACTACTCGGATTTCATCGTTGTACATCACTTAAAAGTAAATACGGTTCGTTTTGACCACGCCCTAACAACGTGCTAGCCACACCCTTTTGTCGGCAAAAAGTTGTCTTGCACCCCCCGAAAAGGATAGTCTTCGCTCCGCCCCTGCATATAGGTAACCTGATAGTGGTTATAAAGAACAATTTTGGAAAGATAATGATATTGCAATATCCCAGCAAACTGTAGAATTGAAGTGCAAGAAAATAAAAGATTGAAAGATATTAAAACTTTCGCAAATCAATTTGAACTTGTATTTTCCCCTAAAGTACCATTTTGTTCCCTGTCTTTGACAATGTTTCAAATGTCAAGTAGCAACACTTTGCTTGCATTTTCACCCATTGCCATTGAGCTCTCCCGTTGATGAGTAAAATTGTCTGGCATTAGACAGTGAAAGTAAAATCAGAATGTAGACTGTGCAAACGTACAGACTGAAGTATAATGCAACTTAATCTGTTAACAAGCTATTAAGCCATTGAACACCATCGCTCACCCCTTGAGGAGTAAAATCATCTGGCGTTAGACACAGTAAAATAATAAAGTATTTAGGATGCAGTGCAACTTGATATTGACCCTAGTTTACCTAATCATATCATGCAAAACACACACTTTAGCTACACTCTTGAACTGTCTGTGCCAGTGTAGGTAGTAGAGGTGTGCAAATCCGATCGGATTCGTTCGGATTTCGGAACAAAAATATTCTTTTTCGATTGGATCGGATTGACAACATTGTTTCGTAGTCGGATCGGACTTCGATATTCGAAATAAAATGAATTAATTATCCACGCATTATCGCAACAATTAATTATCCATGCATTTATCAAAGCATTAATAAATTACCGCGGTTGTTGCTGCATTATTCGTTTGATACTTCAATTGGACGTCACTTTGTCAGCTTCTTGACATGTATTTCTTGCTTTTATATTTATTGGTTAAATATTTCCACTTGGATGAGAAATTTATTTTATTAAAGGTTCTTCGGATCGGATCGGAATTCTTTATCAAAACTCGGATTCGGATTAGACAATATCGGATTGGATTTTAAACATTAGATCCGATGCATACCTCTACTATGTAGTGGCAATAATATGAACAAGCTTTCGTTGGTGGGGATGCAACTATACCTGAAAAATATAAGCCAGAATTTCGACGGTTCGAGCGAAGGCCCTTCGTCTTCGAAATTCTCCTTTTATTTTTTAAGCAGTTGCATCCCCATCAACGAAAGCTTGTTCACTTTAGATACACCTACGTCCTTTCCCCTATATGTTCCTCAGGGAAAAGCAAAAGCCAGGTTGCAGTTAGTTAGTTATGTACTTTGCTACAGCTAATGGTGATACATTTCTATGTATCCTAGCCTGAGTGGGAGAAAACCAAATACCCAGAGAAAAGTATTGGCAGAGCACTGACTAATCCTTTTCACATGAATGTCCTGAGTCCGGAACGAGAATCGAACCCACAACTTCAGTAGTGAAAGGTGCTTGCTCTGAACAATGCAATATTTTTGTAAATATTATTGAGTGGCCTCAGGCCCCAACCATCTTCCCCGTGCTGTCACAGTTTCTCCATGCTTTTCCAGCTGTGCGTTGCAGGCATAATAAACGACAAGGACTCGCAAGTAAAACAAAGCAGTAACAAGCAGCTTGTTGGCATACATCTAACTTTCTACTGTCGTTTTTTACTATATTTCTTTTTTATTCAGGTAATAGATTTTCCTCTTGATGAACGAAATCAAGAAATTGAATTTGATGAATCTCTGTGCAATTGTGATGAACCAACAATTCCTGAAACACTTCTTTCAGAATGTGAAAGCAAAGTGTCAGAAATATATAATACTATTCTTCAAGATCAGGTATAGAATTGTCAATTTGCTTATCCTAAAAACGGGTTCAAGAGTGCCTTTGCTCTTTACCACTGTTCTTTACCATTGAATGATCAGTAGCAGGTAAAAATCAGGGTATCCACGGGCCTTTCCAGGACTGAAAAGTCCTTGAAAATTAGTAAAAGCCCTTGAAAGTCCTGGAACCAATTTCCTTAACCTCCAGCTGTGCCAACATTAGTGATTATGATTAAAATTACTGAATAAAGTGAATTATTTACGGCAAATCCGTGCCATTTTCAAAGATTTTGCCCAGTTGTAGGTCCTTGAATTTACTGAAAGCCTTGAAAGTCCTGGAAACGTCCTTGAATTTCACCTTCACCAAAGGGTGCATGGACACCTTGAAAAATGTCTATTGATTTTGTACATGGTACTGTGGCTTATTAATCATGATGCTGATGCAGATTAAACTCTATAAATTGTCCTTGAGTCTTGACAATCATTACAGTTTCGCGTGATAATATGGCAAATATAGACGATGTTTTATTAAAAATACAAGCGAAGATAATTGACGAGTTATTTGACGCCGTGATGAACCCTTTAATCATGCAGCCTTTGGGTACAATAGGGCTAAATGACTATAGGTGGAATAAAGACATCTTTTGTTAGTTGGAGTTTTCTGTTGTCGTTTAAAGGAAATTAAAGGATTGACTTGTCTTTTTAGAAGCAACGCGAGTTGCTGAATTGGTCATTAAAAGTTGTAAATGATAGAGAAATTATTGTTGAAGGTCAAAGAAGGTATTTTGTTGTCAGTCTTTTACGAACCTGCTTTTTTCTACATCAGTTTTGAAGTTTTCTGGAAGCGTGCGCCCGTGTACATTATGTTGAATAAACATTCTTCAATTGTTTTCAGCGGTGATCCTTCAGACATAAGTTGGAAAACGTCTGTGATATGTGAGAGAATTTCTACAAATGTAGTTCGGAGCAAAAAGGGGACATTGTATTTTCTCCTTGGAGAAATTAATGCAAACGATATGATTGAAAAAAGTAAGTCAGAAATTTAGTTCATGAAATGCCTGGAAAGTTAGTTGAGACTTGAGGCCTTTCAACTCGAAACAGATTTTCAGTAAAATGTAGTGCAAAAATAGACAAGATGTTTCCTGTCAACACAACGTTTATTTATTTGTAAAATTATACAATTCATATAGTAATGCAGGTTCGATGTGACTGGTTGAGCTACTCACCGTATAGCAAACTCATATACAATGAGTAGCGAATTCAAAATGTCGGCAGGAAAACCGCAATTCCATATTTGCAGTTTCTGAATTAATGATAATTTCTATAGACTATATCGAAAGAGTAACGAAAAAAACATGAAGAAAATTATAAATTCTTCAGAATGTCGCCAACAAAACGAAGTAAATTTTTCGTCAACAAGCAAAGAAAGTTTTAGATATGCAAAAAAATATCTCGCGTTTTCAGCAATATTGTTCTAAAACCAAGTTGCGACATGCATTGCCATTGTGCCAGAACAAACTGTCATAATATCACAATATACAGAAGAGTCTAATTGCACAGGTTAATCGTGGATGTCTAATATCTTATAAACAATTATACCATTCTGTTTCTGGTGTTATGCACTCCGGTGAAGAGATATGTTTGTGATGCTGTCCCTGACCATGTCCATGCACAAGCTGAAACATTTGATTGACTGGGGTGGGAATCGAATCCGCGAGGTCAAGTCGGTTCGAGTACGTGATATTTCGGAACTAGAAGTTCTAGTTCTATCGCACGAACTAGACTGAGTTCCGAAGTATCACCCACTCGAACCGACTTGACCTCGTAGCTTAGTTGGTAGAGAAATGGATTCGTGAGTTCGATTCCCACCGCGGTCAAGCAAACGTTTCGGCTTGCCCGGTGTCAACCGGTGTGGACATACTCAGAGACAACATCACAAATTATACCATTCGCTCTCGTCACATATAACTAGCGAGTAGCAGTTCATATACACGACTCGAGCTTAATAATTCTTGAATGTATAATCCGTACGAATAAAGATCCACGCTTATACGAATCGGAAGCCGTTGTCGTTGAATCTTATCGTCAACCCTGATAAAAGATTTTTTCTCTAGGTTTTTCTGAAGAGATTGTAAGCATGTTCAAGTATGGATTTCCACCTAACTGGGGAGATATATTTTCAAAGATTGTTTCGGACCAACCTGAACGGTAATTTACATTGAAAATGGTCTATTTGCCTTTTTATGGCGTGACATTTGTCAACAGAGCAACTATAACATGGACTACAAATTCCCAGTCTACGTTGATTTCGCATGCGTTATACAATACTGCTTAGGGGCGGACCATTAGAAAAGTGATGGGGGGGGGGGGGG